AAGAGCCAGAAAAACAAGACATTTCATTAAGACATTTTCTTGCAAATGAAATGATCATTTAATTTATATTGGGAATGTAAAAAGTACATTCCCAGTATTTTCTAGACTCAAGTGCAAGTGGTAAAGAACTGAAATTGGCTGGGCGAAGTGGCTCACACCTGTAATCTCAGCACTTTGGGAGGCCCAGGCAGGTGGATCACTTGAGGTCAGAAGTTTTGAGATCATCCTGGCCAACATAGGAAACCCTGTCTTTATTAAAAATAAAAAAATTAGCTGGGTGTGGTGGCACATGCCTGTAATCCAGCTACTCAGGAAGCTGAGGCAGGAGAATCACTTGAACCTGGAAGGCGGAGGTTGCAGTGAGCCGACATTGCAACACTGCACTCCAGCCTGGGAAAGAGTAAGACTCCAATTCAAAGAAAAAAAACCTGAAATCAAAATCAAAACAATAATATAGTCATCCCTCAGTATGAGCTGGGGTTTGGTTCCAGTCCCCCTGAGGATACCAAAATCTGGCTGATGCTCAAGTTTCTCACATAAAATGGGTAATATCTGCATATAACCTATGTACATCATCCTGTATACTTATCTAGATTACTTATAATACCTAATATAAAGTTATTATACTCTGTTGTGTTTTATATTATCTTTCATTATTGTATATTTTTATTGGATTTTCTTTGGAATATTTTTAATCTGTGGTTGGTTGAATCTGTGGGTGTGGAACCCCAGATACTGAGCCGCCCGCATACAGGGGGCTGACTGTATTTCCTGACATGTAAAATTTGAATTTCATTCTCCATAGTTTTATTGGAACACAGTGATATTCATTCATGTACTGTCTGTTGTTGCTTTCATACTACAACATCAGAGTAACTGCAACTAATTTTTCTATTTTTAGTAGGGACGAGGTTTCACCATGTTGGCCAGGCTGGTCTCAATCTCCTGTGACCTTGTGATCTGTCCACCTTGGCCTCCCAAAGTGCTGGGATTACAGACATGAGCCACCATGCCTGGCCCAAATCAGAAAATTTTATTATACCCTACAGTTTGAACATATGGAAAAAGCATTAAATATCTAAATATGTAAATTAAGATAATAATGAGGCACCTTTTTGTCAATAATTAGAAGACTGAGGTAGTATGAGGTGTAGTAAGACTGGTATGTTCATATATCATCAGGAGGAGTCACGGTGGACTCAATCTCAGAAGCTACAGAAGGGTTAGAATCACTCAGGAGAAAGGCAATAGAGATTTTTTGTTTGGATTCCTAGTCCTAATATAAATTGTGTGTGTTTGTATTTTAAAATAGAATGGATAGGGAAATAGGTTATGGAGATAAATTACAACAAACTGGCTAAGAGTCTTGAAATTTTAATTTTTTAAAGGAAATTTATTTTTTAGTCCTTTTAATATAAAAATAACAAATCAGTAGAGAAAATACCACGTTTATGGGGATTGTTTGTATACAGTAATGGATTTATTTAATCTATTTTTTTTTCTGATTATAAAGTGACAGATACAGAAATATATAACAGAAGTGTCTCTGATGGTCCCACTGCCTCCAGAGATAACCCTATGAATAATTTAATATATTCTGGATTTTTTTCCTTTACATATAGAAATGCTTGGGGGAGAAAGAAAAAAAAAACTCCAGAACATAATCTTTACAGATGATAACTTTATCTATACAAATTATAACTTGATTTTTTTCTTCATTAGTAGTGTCTTGGCAATTCAGTCTACTGTATTGTTCTCAGTGGCTGCAAAATACTCCACTGAATGAATGTATCGTAATTTATTTAATCAGTCGTCTTTTTGTAGATAATGAGGGTGGTGTCTTTTATTCTCCTCTTTCAGTGGAAGCGCCAAATCCTAGGCACTAGACCACCAGGGAACTTTTCTCCTCTTTATTGCCAAATATATATGTTAATATTCTTTAATTATACATAACAGAAATAACACAAACTAGCTTAAATAAAGAGGTAGAGGAGGCATCACAGAACACAGGGCCAGGAATATGGAGGAGTCTTAGGAAAGGACTAGAAGTAAGAAGTGTAAACCATCAAGAACCGCGAAGTGGCTGGGCCTGGTGCTTCATGTCTGTATCACAGCACTATGGGAGGCTGTGGCGGGAGGATCACTTGAGCTCAGGATTCAAGACCAGCCTGGGCAACATAGGCTGGGTGAGACCACGTCTCTACTAAAAATAAAAAATTAGCCAGGTGTGGTGGTGTGTACCTGTAGTTCCAGCCACTCTGGAGGTTGAGGCTGCAGTGAGCTATTTTTGTACCACTGCACTCCAGCCTGGGTGGCAGAGCGATACCCTCCCTTTTTTTTGAGTCTCACTCTGTCACCCCAGGCTGGAGTACAGTGGCACGATCTCGACTCACTGCAACCCAGGCCTCCAGGGTTCAAGCAGTTCTCCTGCCTCAGCCTCCCAAATAGCTGGGGCCACAGCCACCATACCTGGCTAATTTTTTTTTTTGTATTTTTAGTAGAGATGGGGTTTTACCATGTTGCTGGTTGGAATATGAACTGGTTCATCTGTCCTGCTAAATAGGAGTATATATCAAGAACTTCAAAAATCACTTTCACTGCTGTAAAATTCAACAGTGAGAACGCATCACAATTTACTAATGTTTTTCCCTACTGATAGCTATATATATGTGCGGTTTTCAGATTTTTTTTCTATTAGAAACAATGTTGTATTTCACATTGTAATGAATGCTGTATTTAACTTTTTTATGTATTTATCATCAGCAATTAATGTTAAATCTATAGGAGTCCAATTTTATGAGGCACAGTATATTGTATATAGTCTCAGAGTTCCTAGTCTAGAGAAACCCAGAAACCCCTAAGTCTAAATGTGGACTTACTGGATCCACCCTAAGTAATCAAAATTAGTATGACCAATAAGGGGCAAATGCCATGTACCTCCAGATGTGATACCCTGTTCAAAACCACCTAAGTCTAGAGGTGGACTTACTAGGTATCAGGTTGTACACAGCTTCAACTTTACTAGATATTGCCAAAATGTTGTCTAACGTAAAGACCTGGCTGGGCATGGTGGCTCATGTCTGTAATCCCAGGATTTTGGTAGGCCATTTGAGCCCAGGAGTTGGAGACCCAGCCTGAGCAACATAGTGACACCTCATCTCTACAACAAATGAATTTTAAAGCAATTAGCCGGGTGTGTCAGCACACACCTGTACTCTCAGCTACTCAGGTGGCTAAGGAGGGAGGACTGCTTGAGCCTAGGAGGTCAAGGAAGTTGTGAGCCATGATCATGCTGTACTCCAGACTGGGCAACAGAGCTGTATATAAATAAATAATTAAACAAGAACAATTTATTCTTCATCACCAACACTTTTGAGAAGTATTAATTATTGCTAATCTGATGTAAATTAATGGCATCTCCCTAATTACAAGTTAGGTTCATTGTCTTATTTATTGACCCTTCCTTCCTGTTCCCCCTTTTATAAAAGGACCGACCATGTCCTTTGCCCATTTTCTATTATAACATTTGTCTTTGATTCTGTTTTGTTTCATTTAGTAACTTGAAGGTGTATTCACATTATTTTAAGAACAACTCCTCCATAAAAACACCTTTCCCCCAGGGCTGCTTCCACATTCTTGCCTTAACTAATTCCAGCATTCCCTTGATACTGTTACTCTCACAGTCTTCTCCACACGAACCAAAAAACAGAAACTTATCAGTATCAGTCACAATTATCCTAAAACTGTAATGATGTCCTTCCCTTCTAACAAATCTATAAAATTATTCCAAATTCCACAGATTGGTTTTCAAAGCTTTCTATAATCTGACCCCAACATTATCAGCCAGCTACTCTGCTATATATATTCTATCCATCAAGTAAACTCAACTGTTTGCCACCATCTCAAACACCCCCTGGGGTTTCTATAACTAATTATCTGTCTTGATCCATGCTCTTCTTAGCACCCACTCGTTTATCAGACATTCATCCTTCAAGGAAAATGCTTCCTTACAATATAATACCAACAAATATAGAAAAGAATTAGAAAAAAAATCAAAATTTTGCAGCCATAAGAATAAAATGGATTCAGGCAAGAATAATCAATTGATGATAAATCCAAAATGTCATATTTTATAAGGAACAAAATATTTTATATAATGTCAAAGTATCTCTCTCTCAAATTATTTATGAATTATAAGGATAACTACATTGATATCATTTAAAAAGCACCCTAATAAGTAATCAAAGTTAATACCATCAGTAAGGGGCAAATGTCACGTACCTCCAGATGCGATATCCTGAAAGACACTATTCCTTATGCAGTATTCCAGTTAAAAATGCATAGCCATGCCGGGCGCGGTGGCTCAAGCCTGTAATCCCAGCACTTTGGGAGGCCGAGGCGGGTGGATCACGAGGTCAAGAGATCGAGACCGTCCTGGTCAACATGGTGAAACCCCGTCTCTACTAAAACTACAAAAAATTAGCTGGGCATGGTGGTGCGTGCCTGTAATCCCAGCTACTCAGGAGGCTGAGGCAGGAGAATTGCCTGAACCCAGGAGGCGGAGGTTGCGGTGAGCCGAGATCGCGCCATTGCACTCCAGCCTGGGTAATAAGAGCGAAACTCCGTCTCAAAAAAAAAAAAAAAATGCATAGCCATGAAGAAACATTGGAGAAACCCAAATTGAGAACATTCTATAAAGTAACTAGCCTATATTATTTTAAAATGTTAATGTGTCAAAGACAAGGACTGAGGACTTTTTCCAGATTAAAAGAGACTAAATACAATACATGATCCTAGACTAAATCTTCAACTAGAGAAAAATGCCATAAAGGACATTACTGAAACAACAGATATAATTTGAGTGTGAGATGTAGGTTCAGAATGTGTGCTTAATATTTACTAAACTAGAAGAGCTTTCATTCCAATAATTCACACACACTCCCACCACATCTAAGGAAATGCTCTTATACAATATACCTGAGAAGAGAAATGGACAGAAATAAATGATTAATATGTGTTAATAACAGTGTCTAGTGCACTACAGATAAAAATCAACAAATTAAAACACTGGAAAGGTTCAGAGAAACTATCACTCACCTTATTTTAGGGACAAATACATGAATTTGGGTCCTTGTGATTTTTGATAAACATTTCAAATTTCTATTATTGAACATAAAACTAGATTCCAAAGGAAATAACTAGAAGAGTTTAGATACCTATAAAAAATTTAGATTCTTAACTTTACACAAAATATCTAAAAACACACAATATACTGTCTTTGAATTTTAATGACACTAATAGCTTTATTTAACAAACATTGAGTGACTACTATGTGCAAAGCACTATGCCAGATGCATAAAAGATACAAAGATGAAAAGAGACATAGTCCCTGCCCACAAGGAGCGTATAATCTAGTGAGGGAGACAAATACACAAATAACTACAAGGCAGTAAACAAGAGTGGGCAAGTGCTGAGTGTGGCCTGAGTGTGATACTAACTAGCCTCAAGGTTCCAATTTGAAACACGATGAAATAGTGTTGCCTGCTTTGAAAATCCCATCCCAAGTATGGCATAATGGAAGTTAAATGGCCCTACCCAAGCAGCTGGAAATAACAGAGTAGGCCAGGTGGAGGGGCTGTTTGAAAGCACTATCACACCTACATACATGGTGCTGATATAAGTACGTAGGTATGGCTAAAAAAGAACTCATATATATATATGTATATATATATATATATCATCTGTCCTTTGGTTAATGGCTATAGCTACTGTTTTAAACAATATACTTTTATATAAAAAGGAATTTGTATAATCCCAGAAAAATCAATTTAAGGATTAATATTAATTCAAGAAAGAATCCTGCCATAGGCAATTTTATTTACTAATTGATTAAGTCTTTTCTCTAAATATCTATAAAGCTCTGTAGCAATTAAACAGTTAGACATTTAAGTATTGCTGAGTAGAAACCTCTTATGTTCAGCCTTCTGAAAGAAATGGTCACATACCTGATAAAGCACTATTCTAATAGCGACAAGAAGGCCTTAAAGAGATTTAAGGAAAATAATTTTTAATGCTTCAATGCAAATGGAGTACACGCTGATTAAATACAACTCAATGTTCTTTGAAAACATCTCAATGACAGCATTTGATACCAGTTAAGGCCAGCAAAATTGCACTGAGGAAAATATTACATGTACTGTCTTTCATTGGTTTCATGTATCATTGCTTATGACTATGGCAATGCAATCTTTCCTTTGACAATTGCATTTATGGGAACTGATGAGCTTTGATTTATGAACTTTGATTTGCTTTTAGTTCATATGCCAATAACAAGTGCTGACCACTTCTTCTTGGTAGTGCTGTCTGAAATAACTGGCAAAGTAGAAGCACATTTCCTGGCTGCTTTTCCTACTTCCTGAATTGGAGGGTTCACCTCCTTAGCCTGTTTCTTTCCGTGTATCACTGTGGTCCTGGGTCCTCTGCTGCTTTCTCTCAAGGAAACGAGCCCGTGCATCAGATATGGATTTGTCATCATTTCTTTTTTGCATTTTCTTTAGGACGTCTTTTGATATTCCATCTGAAAACATTACAAATTAATCCAATAAAACTTAGCTTTGAGATTCAGTACTGGAAGTGTTAAGAGAAAGAGAAGCCCTGATTTATCAACATTAACAAAGTAAAAAGAATAAAGAGAAAAATAAATTTTGCCCTTTCAAAAGCAATATAGTCTATGGTTACAAAATTAAGGGCACCAAGGCTAATGCATCAGAAAAATTGACCCTATTTCAGGCACGTGGCACAGTGTTGTAACACTGTAATAAAATACCTAGTGGCTAACATTTCTAAAGACTTTTCTATGATTTCTTGGGCAAAACTCTTCACCCATTCTATTTTCCAGTGATGTCAAATAAAGAAAATACAATATGCTTCATCATTCAGCCTCAAAAAGCTTTACTTAAAAGTGCTTTGTGTATGCAAGCTGATAATTAAACTTTGTCCTATTTCTGTACCACAACTATTTATGCCTCACAACTAGAGTCCTAATATTTTGTAGAAAAAGGCCCTTGGAAACAAAGGGGATTCTGAGCTAATAATGCATAAATAATAAATACTTTTTGTTTTTTTTAAGGGACAGCGTCTCACTCTATCACCCTCAGGTGGGAGTACACTGGTGAAATCACAGTTTACTGCAGCCTCAAACTCCTGGGTTCGCGTGATCCTCCTGCTTCAGCCTCCCAAGTCACTTGGACTACAGATGCACACCAACATGTCTGGCTAATTTTTTTTTTTTTTTTTAAGAGATGGGGTCTCACCACATTGCCCAGGTCAGTCACAACATTTTTATAAAGAAAAATAGTAAAGCACTACTGGGAAGCACTATGGCATAGTGGTTAAGAGCAGAACAAACAATTTACTCACCCTTTAGCTGTTTTACATTTTCCTTATTTGTCCATCTCCTTCTTGCATCTTCTCTTACTTCACGTCGGGCCACACTGCTCAAATCATGTGCATTAAATTCATGCAACTTGGGTAACAAGTCTCTTACCCATTCATAACGGATTGGGCATACAATTCTTGCGTAGACTTTGGTGGTAACCAATACCTCATGAAAAATGATCCATTCAAGTTTGGTTTCCTGTTCATGAAGCTATAAAACATTTCTTTTAAGGATCATAAACTCAATAACCTGCCCTATTTCACATTAGACCAACCAAATAGTCCAAACCCTTCTCAACTAATTCCTATCTTCTTCAAACAAGAGGCATATGCCAACCAATACCCTTATGGATCTATGTAATATAGATATATGCAAATTTAACCCCAAAGTGAAAAGTAGAAGACATTTATATATTACTTATTTCTACACCTTTACAAATTTCTTCCCTTTATTAAAAATAAAGCACTTACTGCTGAGGAAGGATGAATGTGAACTGGGCTTCCACGCCCATCCATTGTGCAAAACGTTCTCCCAACAGATCTGTAAACAGAAAAACAAAATGATAAAGACTAGAACAGTAAAAGAATGAAGTAAATAGAGCATTAAGTTCAGCAATGAACAACTGCAGTATGTTCTACTACAAAGCGCATTATAAGCAGAGGTTTGCATTTATTCAATTGTTACTACAACCTCTCTACAAATTCATCTTAATTATTCAAGTTAAACAGTAACTACAATTAGGTATAAGTAACTACAATTAGGTATAAGCAATCAGTAATTAACAATAATCTATGAGCTTTGAGAGCCAGGAATTTTATTAAAAGGTCAAAACTGAAACTCAAATAAATTAGCTAGACTTTTCAAGATCACAGAGCTAATGCATGGTAAAACCAAGTTCTACATGGTTCTCCTGACTTAAATATGGTTTCTTTATGTTATATCACATTGCATCTCTTTTTAAAGGGATAGGTGATTTTTCACTTTTTTTTTTTTTTTTAAAGTTTAAGTTATTTATTTAAGCCATCTCCTGTCACAAGCAAAGGAACGGAAGATCAGTATACCAGTCATCATTTGATACAGGTAAAGAAGGTGAGCTTAAGGTCCCATATACTTTTTCTGGTCCATGTGCAGAGTAATGGTCCAAACCAGTGCTGTGCTGCTCCCTGGTGCCCAGGTAGTGGTCCAGATTCTCTTTATTCATCTTCATAGCCAGATGGAAGTGGATTCACATAAGAGTTATGAAATAGGGTTTGGTTACCATCTCCCCAGGGAAACGGCTTGGTCATGATGCAAAGATGAGGGTAGGCAACGAACTCAGGTCTCTCATGCTGTTTCTGCGACTTCAGGTACACATTCAGCATGCTGACTCCCACCCCAGGGAGCACGACGAAGAAGGTGAGGACCTTCCACATGCAACCTGAACCTTCTCTGCTGTAGGCGGCACTCGACATAGGCCGCCCCAGCTGTGGGCGGGACCGACCCAGCAGACGAGAAAGCCAAGACGCAACAGCTGCCGCCATCTTCCACCTGGACCTCGATTTTTCACTATTCTAAAACTTGACAATTAGTTCATCTATCATTTTTCCAATTCATGCCCTTAACATATTTTCTTCCACATTTCCCTACCTAAACATTATTTCAAAAAACTTATCAAAATAATAATCCTAGTTCATTTGTCATAATTTCCTATAGTACTTTGTATATATCCATAGTATAACCCACATCAAACTGCACTGCAATTATTCACTTACGTATCTGTATCCTCCATTAGATTCAGGTATCATCAAGAATGATATAAGGACTCATGTTACTCTACCTTTCTATCTTCAATACCTGCTCAATTTGGCACACAGTGGGTAACCAAGACATATCATTTTTAAAAATGTAAAACAGGCTGGGCGCGGTGGCTCAAGCCTGTAATCCCAGCACTTTGGGAGGCCGAGGTGGGTGGATCACGAGGTCAAGAGATCGAGACCATCCTGGTCAACATGGTGAAACCCCGTCTCTACTAAAAATACAAAAAATTAGCTGGGCATGGTGGTGCGTGCCTGTAATCCCAGCTACTCAGGAGGCTGAGGCAGGAGAATTGCCTGAACCCAGGAGGCGGAGGTTGCGGTGAGCCGAGATCGCGCCATTGCACTCCAGCCTGGGTAACATGAGTGAAACTCCGTCTCAAAAAAAAAAAAAAAAAAAGTGCATACATATAAATGCATTACATATATACACACTAACATCAATTTTTATTCCAGTGTCTGTCCATGCATCCATCTAAATTGAAACCCCTAACTTTTATAATGATATACTGAAATTTCAATCCAGCAGCACAGAGATCATTCCCATTTTCTTACTTTCAGTATTTTTAATTCCCTTCACCATTATCACTCATAGTTATGTGACTAATTCCTCTGTGTATAATGAATCTCCATCACCACCAATGCTATCCCTTTCTCTATAAAGATGCCTTCCAGCTGGGTGTGGTGGCTCGTGCCTGTAATCCCAGCACTTTGGGAGGCTGAGTCGGGTGGATCACTTGAGTCTGGGAGTTTGAGACCAGCCTGACCAACATGGAGAAACCTTGTCTCTATTAAAAATAAAAATTAGCTGGGCGTGGTGGCGCATGCCTGTAATCCCAGCTACTGGCGAGGCTGAGGCAGGAAAATGGCTTGAACCCAGAAGGTGGAGGTTTCCAGCCTGGGCAACAAGAGTGAAACTCCATCTCAAAAAAAAAAAAAAAAATGCCTTCCTCACTACACTCAGACTGATACCCCAAACCAAATAACCCCTCCCCATCTTGCTCAAGCCCTAACACTCCATGCCAAGCTACCTTTTCTCAGGGATGCCATGCTCAACCTACCTGGCTTTCACACTATACATAGAGCCACCCCTCTGCAAGAAAACTCTTGTTACTTGCCTTAAGTGAAGATAACCCATGCTGAACAGCCACCCTAAAAACACACCTCCTATCCTGCTTGAACTCTAATACCACATTCTGAGCCACTGCAGCTCTCCCTGGTCATTGTAATTGATGTCATAATCATCAAATAGCTTAAATCAAATCTTCAATGTTTATTATTAAATAGCCCAATATTGTAGTTAGTCAAATACAGTATATATCTTGATCCATCTCTCAAGTTCTCATTGCTTACCTTCGAGCTACATTTTTGAAATAGCCTGCACAGAGACATCTTCGTAGTACCTCATGTTTAGGGCCTTCAAAGGTCTCTCTTGGGAAATCACTTTGCTGTAAAAAGAATATGTATAGAGTGGTAATTCTCATAGCACAATTTGAAATAATCTTTTATTTTGAAAAATCCACATTTCTAAAGACTTCTGTTTCTGCCAAACATAGAGTAAAAGGGACCAGATTTACCCTTCTACCTGAAAACAAAAAAAAAAAGGACAAAATATATGAAATAATGATTTCCAAAACACTGTAATATCAGGCAATAAAGGACAGTGACTTCAGAGACCGGAAATAAATGCAGTACGCCCAACGACTGCCCCAACTTCAGCCTTGAGAAAGACTGCAGACCAAGGTAAAGGGAAGTAAAACTAAAATGGAATCCAGAGAACTCCCTGGGTTAAGGAAACAAAGCTGGGAGTCCAGGAAGACCAAGGTGGCTAGAATTCACAGAACAAGAGTTCAGGAAAGAAGAGAACTACGTAAGGACACAACTCCAGAGAGATGCAAAGGGTCCTCCTCAAGTGTTCTGTGGAGTACTGATTAGCACATGAATCTGAGGAAACTACCAGCTCAAGAAAAGAACCTCTTAAAAGGATGTTTTCACAGGGCTAGTAACGGCGCCTGTTCCTATAAGCCACATGAGAATACTACACTATAGTAATTCATGTGATTTTAGGAAGAGCACTCAGATGTGCCTTGCCTCAGCAGAGGGGAGTAACTGGCCCTGCACTGAGTGCTGCTCTGATCCCACCTACCAAATGATGCAAGCAAGACCCAAAAAGATCAAAACATATCCAAGTAACTAGAACACAAAAATATCCAGCTCCCAACAAGGTGACATTCACAATGTTTAGTATTCACTGAAAAATTATCAGGTATGATGTAAAAAAGCAAAAAGATACAATCCATAAATGAGGACATCAATAAATTAAAATCAACCTAGAACTGACACAGATTTAATTATAGTCCATTATATAATTATTTGTATAGCTGGATTATGTATGTTCAAAAAGTAGAGACCCGAAAAGTAAAATGTAAAAATTTAAAGACTGAAATCCAACATCTAGAGATGAAAATACAACACCTGAGATGACATATATACTAGATGGGATTCACGGCAGATTAAACACTGCAGGAGAAAAGATTAATGAACTTGAAGATAAGGCAAATAGAAAACATTCATAATGAAACAAAGAAAGTATAACAGTGGTTTCCAGAGGCTGGAGAAAGAAGAGAATGGGTAGGTTTTTTGGTTTTGTTTTGAGTCAGGGTCTTACGCTGTCACCCAGGCTGGAGTCAAGTACTCAATATCAATGATAAGTTCTTAGAAACTGCAACGTTAAGCAAAATTTTTAAAGTAATTTTTTTTCTCATCAATGTTAAAAAAATGGTGAATAAAACAACATTTTTCTGAAATCAGGTTTGTTGTTACAAAAAACAAAACAAAACAAAACATTTTTCTAGGGCCTGCTGTATATCACTGTGCTTAAAGTCAGTTTCCAAGATCCTACAGATGACGTTAAGTGAGGACTTAATGTATAATGACAGAAAGCAGATCAGTGGTTATCTGGGTAAGTGGGGAGGTTCTGGGAAGTGAGACAAATGGATTACAAAAGGGAATGAGGCCAGGCACGGTGGCTCATACCTGTAATCCTAGCACTTTGGGAGGCCGAGGTAGGTGAATCACTTGAGGTCAGGAGTTTGAGACCAGCCTGGCCAATATGGTGAAACCCCATCTTTACAAAAAATACAAAAATTAGCTGGGTGTGGTGATGCAAGCCTGTAACCCCAGCTACTTGGGAGGCTGAGGCAGGGGAATCGCTTGAATCTGGGAGGCAGAAGTTGCAGTTAGCTGAGATTGGGCCACTGTGTTCCAGCTTAGGGGTCAGAGTGAGACTCCATCTCAAAAAAAAAAAAGGAAATGAGAAAACTGGAGGAGAAGTTGGGTATGTTCCATTATCTTGACAGTTGTTTTATGCAAATGTCAAAACTCATCAAATTGTAAACCTTAAATATGTATTAGTTATTGCACGTCAATTATGTATCAGAAAAGCAATTTTCAAATATCTTCAATTCTGCAGATACAATTCTTTTATTACTACTAGGAATCTTTCATGGGGTCAGGGAGATGGCTATACACAGAAACAAATAGAAAGGAAGGTTGGTAGTGAAGAAAGGGTGGTAATGTACATCACTGAAAATTCAGTATGAAATATATAGGTCCAAAATGCTACTTAAGAAAAAAATAACATTATGGCAATCACCTGTTTAAGCTTCCTGATTAGTTCTCGAAGTTGGGCTTCCACACGAAATGCAGAAAATAAGCACCTCCAGTGAATCCAGTGTTTTTGGCACCATGAAGCTGGAGCTCCACTGCAAAACAAAAAACTCGTATCTTTAAAATATCTTCTCTAAGTAAAAGACAATCTAACATTCTCATTTCTATTACAAAAGTATAAACCCACAACCAACTGTCAGTTCCTTTAGGAGACCTGTTCAAGTACTAAAGAAGTGTTTTAGGAAATTTGAAAAAAAAAACAAATTAATGACTACATTAAAAAATAATTTGTGAATGGATTTCTTTACTTATATATATGCATTAACAAATATCCAATCATTTTTTAATCTAGGCCACCTATATAGATGCAAAATTCTATAAGGTTTGAGGAGAAAAGAAGAGAATCAATATCATATACCAAGTGCCTACTAAGCAACAGTCATCTGACATAGATAATTTCACTGAAATTCAAAATACCTTGAGGTCAGTATCATCTTCACTGAACCTTAGTGTCACGAGCCACATAATAAGTACATATTGGAACTATACATCAAATTGACATTTTCTATACAAAGGACTACCTTACATACCTTGATTTGCATTGTTCAAAGATGACAGCTAAAGTTGCAAAGTCATTAAATCCTCCAGCTTTAGTTGCCAATTCTCGATGTCTCTGTTCTGCTTCCTTCTGGTACTCTGGATCAACTGAAAGAATTAGAGAGGCAATTCAGTTATACTTTACATTAAGTGTCTACAATCACTTTGTTTTCAGAAGCTCATTAAAATCTGCCTCATCCTCTGGGGTGAAGTAAGGTAGAACTATATGAACTCTTCTTAACTCCTCTTGGGAGGCTCTAATTTCTCCCATAATTCCTTTTCTTCTTTTAATAACACTTTGGAGATTTTACCTGGATAACAACATTACTCCTACCAATCTACTTGCCTTTTTAAAATAGCAGTTGCAATTTACTTTTTAAATTAGTTTTGTTATAAGAGTAACCCATGCTTACAGTTAAAAAAAAAAATGTAGTGGTATAAAAGAATATCATGTAAAAGTTCAATGTTCCCCAGTTAGTCACACTACCCATAAACCAATCCTCAAGGCTAACTACTGTTCATTATTTAGTGTGTGTCCCTCCAGGTATTTTCTATGTATATATGAGCATAGGTACATAGTGCTTCATTTTTCTATAAATGGAATACATAATCTGAAAATTCATTTATTCATTTAATAACAGCTCCATATTAGGACATATAGAATTATTCATTCTCAAAAACAGCAATATAGGACCAGCTGTGGTAGCTCAAGCCAGTAATCCCAGCACTTTGAAAGGCCGAGGCAAGTGGATCAACTGAGCCCAGGAGTTAAGGACAAGCCTGGGGAACACAGCAGGGCCCCGTCTCTACAAAAATTAGCCAGGCATGGTGACGAACACCTGTAGTCCCAGCTACTTAGGAGGTTGAGGTGGGAGGATCACTTGAGCCTAGGAGGTTGAGGCTTCAGTAAGCCGTGATAGTACCCCTGCACTTTGGCCTGGGCAACAGAGTGAAACCTTGTCTCAAAAAAGAAAAAAAATAGTGATACGATGTTATCCAGGAGTATGGGGAACATAACACAATTTAACCAGTTCTTATTTATCCAATTCCCAACTATAGGCAATTAGACATGATCTCCATATATGCAGAATTGACCTACTACAAACATTTTCTTTTCTTTTTTAACGTAATATTAAAGTATAACATGCATACAGAAAATTACACAGGATATAAGTGTGTAGCTCAATTAATATTCACAAACATACACATACCAATTTACCCAACAACCAGATCAAGTTATCACCAGCATCCCAACAGCCCCCCTTATGCCTTCCTTCCAGTAACTACCCATTCCCTTCCACAAGGGTAACTATATCCTGACTTCTAATCCTACAGATGGGTTTTCCCCATTTGTTTTTCTTTTTGTGTTTTTTTGAGACAAAGTCTCACTCTGTCACCCAGGCTGGAGTGCAGTGGTATGATCTCAGCTCACTGCAACCTCTGCCGCCCAGCTTAAAGCGATTCTCTTGTCTCAGTCTCCTGATTAGCTGGGATTTACAGGCGCCTGCCACCACACCTGGCTAACAGGATGTACTTGATGTGTCTGTTTTCTCTTGCTCAGCATTATGTTTTTGAGATTTATCTGTTACCGACTTTGATACCACGCCCCCTATTCCATTTAGGACAGATGTGATCTTTGACTGCCCAAATTCCCCATATGGCACTTTACCCAGGGCTAACTTTTTTTTTTTTTTGAGACAGAGTTTCGCTCTTGTTGCCCAGGCTGGAGTGCAGTGGCACAATGTCGGCTCACCGCAACTCCACCTTCTGGTTTC